GAGGAATTTGGAGTCCCATATTTGGCACAGATGAGAACTTTTCTTAGGTTATAAAATGTCTCTGGCCTGAGTTTTGGGGCAGGTGTGGAGGGAGGAAGATGGTTTCCTCACCATCTCCAGGAACAGATGGCTGGGCCTCCCTGCAAGCAGCCGGCCTGCCAGCTGATGCTAAAACATCCTGGCTCTAAAACCCTGGCAGGGCAGGCTGAGGCTACCTGAATTTTTTAAAACTAATTTCCCCACTCCCCAATGATGTGAAAAGGCAGAAAGGTGCATTGTCCTCTAAAAAGCAAAACAAAAAACCACCAAACAAAAAATACCCCAAAATCAAAGCCACATAAAAAACAAAAGAAAACCCAACCCCCTAAAACCTATCAAAAAGGGGGTACAAGAGGGAATTTGCCCACAGGCTGTGAAGGGTTTCCTTTAAACCATTTTACTTTGGCAGAAAGGACAATTCCCAGAGCCATATGGAATTGGGGCTCATTTAGTTTGGGGTATAGTGTTGCCAAATAGATTTTTTCTAGAGAGAATATGAGAAGTCATGTTTTCATGTGAAACCTTGTGATCTTGAGAAGTTGGTTCAATTATACAATTTTTAAAAAGCCATGCAGCCCAAACAAAACACATCCAAGAACCATATTTGGTTCTCAGGTCTCTGTTTTGCAGCCTTTGGAGAGCCCTGGGTTCTGACAGAGATGGAGATAATGGGGTGGGGAGAGGTGAAGGGACTGTGCCATTGAGGAGCAGCAGGTGGCTTGTGAGCATGGGGTCTGTACCAGGTACCATCAGCGCCCACCCTCCCCTCCCACCTTCCCCATTCTGTTGCTCCCTTCATCCTCCCACAGCCTCGTCTGCAGCTCTGTGTCCAAGGGGTTTTTCAAAACCGTGAAAGGTCGCCTTGCCTCTGCAAGCTGGAAGCATCGAGAAAGTAACCTCTCCTGAGGGTGGCCCGTGACCGGTGACTCTGGGGGTTGGTGTATAAACACCCTGGCTCTCTCACCCTGAGCCATGTGCTCTACGCCCTTTCCCAGAGCTTCCCCGCGAGCTTGAGACCCAGTTGCCTGCTGTGGCAGCTGGATTGATAATGCACTGGTCCGAGCTGCCCTCACTTCCATGTCCTTAACCTGTATATTCTGCATTTCCCAAATAAACTAGCTGCCCTTGAATCCTGTGTCAGGTCTGCTTGGGAGACCTGAAGCTAAGCCTGGATCTGAATAGCTGCGATGGGTATAAAGAAGAGAGCCCCTCTCTCCGGGGAGTCTTCCGACGCGAGTGTTACAACTATGGGGTTGGAATATTTCTTTATACCAGACTTGGGCACCCCACTCCCAGTGCATGAACTTGGGGCCTAATTAAGGGTGCCCACTGGTTCCAGGGAGGCAAGGGGAAGAAGACCCTGTGTCTCTTTACCAGAGACTGTCTACACCTCTCCATAGCCCAGGGAAAGTACCCCAGGAAAAGGAGATGCTGGTTCAACTGTATTCAGAAAAAGAGAACATGCCGGCTTTTCCCAGCTCAAATAATTACTGGGACTATGTCTCTGAATATCACCTAAATGCAAAATAATAAGCACACCATTTCTATTTAATAATACTTTTATTAAAAGTAAAGTTCAATTCAGTGATGTGCAAAAGCTGGGAAAACAATCTTCCCATTTCTTTCTTTTTCCTTTTTCTTCCCTCCTGCTCCTTCCTTGGCTCCCCTGCCACCACTGGCAGCTCTGGCACCTGCACCAGCTGAATGATACTGCAGTGCTGGGGTCACCGTTTAACTCACTCCTGGTCAGTGAAGCTAGTGCAATGGAAGGCCCTAACTGTGCACTTTCTCACAAAACCTTTGGACTTAAGGAGGTTCTAGTGGAGCCTATGTAGGGGTTCTTAACTCTTGCTNGGGAAAGTACCCCAGGAAAAGGAGATGCTGGTTCAACTGTATTCAGAAAAAGAGAACATGCTGGCTTTTCCCAGCTCAAATAATTACTGGGACTACGTCTCTGAATATCCCCTAAATGCAAAATAATAAGCACACCATTTCTATTTAATAATACTTTTATTAAAAGTAAAGTTCAATTCAGTGATGTGCAAAAGCTGGGAAAACGATCTTCCCATTTCTTTCTTTTTCCTTTTTCTTCCCTCCTGCTCCTTCCTTGGCTCCCCTGCCACCACTGGCAGCTCTGGCACCTGCACCAGCTGAATGATACCGCAGTGCTGGGGTCACCATTTAACTCACTCCTGGTCAGTGAAGCTGGTGCAATGGAAGGCCCTAACTGTGCACTTTCTCGCAAAACCTTTGGACTTAAGGAGGTTCTAGTGGAGCCTATGTAGGGGTTCTTAACTCTTGCT